AATAAATTTTTAAAACTTTAGGATAACATGTAATAAAATTTAAAGGTATGTCTATCTCTTAAATATGTAATGAGTGTGGCAGGGGGACATATAGATAATTATGAGGAAATAAAATAACAAAGGATGAAATCCAGAATAAAGCAATGAGCAAAAGACCCAGTTTAGCATTATCAGTTTTCATTAAGTCCAGGTCTACAAATAATAAAATCCAACTCTATGTTTCTGAAAAAGACAAAAAACAAATCTTATCAATTACTACCTTTCCAGCTCAAAGAGTATAATATTCTTTTCCCTGGGAGGAAGGAAACATAAAGTGTTACAAAATTGAGACATTTTGATAAAAATTTATTTCTTTAAAAATTAAAAAAATTGGCAACATTTCCATATTACAGCATATAAGTCAATGCTGAGTAGCTGCTGGCCAGCTAAGGTAGGGCATCAGTCTTCAATTTGCCATGGTCCCTATCTACTTCTTTTTTTTTTTTTTCTGAGACTGGGTCTCACTAGGCAGTTCAGGCTGACCTTGAACTCACTGTGTAGCCCAGGCTGGCCTTGAACTTGAGGCAATCCTCCTGCTTCAGTTTCCCAAGTGCTGGGATTACAGGTGAGTGCCATCATGCCCAGCTCCTACCTATGTCTTGACCCACTTCACTTGCTTACATTATGTGCTTGTCCCATTTTAACTAAGATAGAAAATGGGTTAATACTCACAAATATCATGTGATAATCCCAATAGGTGCTGAAAATACATGGTAAAATTCATTACTCATTTTTGGGTTAACATATAACTCTATCTTACCCTTAATATATTTAATGAATACAGTTATATATAAATTCTTATTAAATTAAAAATAGAATAGCTCAAATCATAGTCATATCACAATTAATGATGCATTATTAAATGCAATCCAATGAAAATCAGAAAGCTGTAAGAATCCCTATTACCATCACTATTGATCTTTTTAAAAAATGTATCCCCTGTTCATTAAGATAAAAGCAATATTATAATGTATAAATATTTATAACATATTACATGGAAAGAAAGGCAGATTATACACGTAAAATACAGTATTTACATTAAAAACTAGACTGAGACTGCAAAAATGCATCAAAAAAGGGAATGGTTGTTATTGCTGGAAGATAAGATTTTGAAAATTTCCACATTTTCCAGATTTGCTTTATCACAGAGACTACTGCATTTTTCTCCTTAAAGAAAATGTAATGTACTGGAAACCTAATATGAAATACAATACATGGGTTCCATAAATATTCATGAATTAAGCATCTATTGTAGGATTTCTTGTAGTCTAGACTTTATATTATTGCATTAGAAATTAATATACCAAATTTCATTGTTTACTGACCTAAGCCAATTTGGGTATACTGGCTCACAGGTTCTTCTCGAGAGAAATGTTCACTATTTCCTCAGAGTAGATTATAAGGAATACAAAATTCAGACCAAATCTTTCCATGTATGCAGAGATTAATTACACATTCACCACGCACAAAACATTTCATATGACCCATTTTGTAAGCTTGACAACACCAAGCAATCTGTCCTTTTAGGTGTTCCCAGCAGGTTCATTTGAGGCTGATATGGCCAAATACCAGGCCAGAAATCTGTTCCCATTATCACTGGTATCGGGCTGTCACAATTCCTGACTCAGTGACTGGACACATTAGGGATCAAAACCTTAGGTGCCATTTCTAAAGGTACAGACTGCTGGACTCACAAGAACCTAAACCTTTTCATGAAAAGTACAGTATCTTTAAATATTTTAGCTAATCCCCATATCTTAAATAATTTAAATTTCAGTAATGAGAGCCCATTTTTGACATAGTGCTGATTAGGAAGCTTCTAATTTCTCTGATAAAAACCCATTTCTGACATTCAGCAGAGGCTAATTACCACAGCCTTCATGTAGCTGCGGATCACAGAAGTCCTTGTGGCCATGTTTGGGGCATGACCTCTGTAAAATACTGCCCATCCTCCTCATACTGTGCAGGTACATCAGGACAACCTGATGGCCCCAAGATCACAAGCTCGGCACACACAATATCACATTGTCTAGGCAAAAGATTTCTACTAAAATACTGACATAACAAACTAGATTCCAAGCAAGACATTAGTAACTCTGATTGGAATGGGGAGCTACATACAAGTATTAAACAGTAAAGTTGGAAATATTTGTAGGAATCAAAAAATGGAAATATTGGATAGCACAGATGACAGAAATAACCATTACAAAAATCTGTGTATAGAATAGATTAAACTAGGAAACAAAACTGATGTGAAAAGTAATTAAAGAAATTTTCTTGATTTATTTTTGATTACACTAATTGACCACCTCCCATTCAAAAACTGATTGTAAACTTTAGAAAATATAAAAATGGATAATGAAAAAAATAAAAATCACCTCAAACCCTAATTCCCAGTTAAAATCATAGTAAGCATTTAGTAATTGCTTTCCATTGTCTTCCATTCTTATACATATAGTTTTCACAAAATTTCCTATGCACTAACTGTACAGTGTTTCTCTTTTTTTCTAATCACAAAATTAATGCACATTGAATTTGGAAAACAGAAAAGCATAGAGGAAAAGCAACAAATCTTCATAATCTCTTCAGTCATGGGAGCCATATTTTATTTGTACTCTAATCCCAACAGCCAAAGTAACATATTAAGCAGAATGTTGCTGCCTAATAAGTGCTCCATAAACAAGGAGCTCATTTGCCTATGCTGCACTTAGAACAAATTGTAAAGCCAAAATTGTAACTGTGGCTTAAAGGAAAGGAAAGGAAAGAAGCCAACCCATTTATATTAGAAAATGACTCTAAAGCTTTCTTCTTGAAAGCTTTAGCTTTTTATTGCAGAAATTGACCTTTCTCAGCAAGAAGTTCATTGCCCACCCAAATTATGTATCCCATGCCTAGGAGTTAAATCAGATTACTGCTCTGCTTCTCACAACCTAAATTCCACATCTCAATTTGTATTTCAATGAAAAGGATTCATGGTGCACCAAGTCATTAAGGCTCTAAGATCTTTGCAGCTCTTAAAGGCAGCCCAACAGGGGAAGCCACTGTAGAGTAAAAATAGTCATAGGATTAGAGAAGAAAGCTTTGTTTGCAATGTCATTGCTGCTGTGTACACTACCTCCTGTGAAGTGGCATGAATGGATTTAGATATAAATCTAAGGCTTTGCAGACTAAGAGCCCTCATCAAATAGTATTTATAGGGGAGTATAGCTGAGATACTGCTTTCCTTAGCAACCAGATACAGCAAGAAACTTGATGGAAAATAGAAATTTTAACATATCTTTATACATATTAACTTTTAACCTAGTAGCCTTTAAACTATATATTCAGTACCTGGAGTAGAAGAAATGTAAAAAGAGATATTTCAATTTGACTTGATTCCCCAGTTATGATCAGGTGCATATTTTTCCCACCAGTTTTTTAATATCTGCTTTGAAGGTAATGATTAATGAGATTTCCAATTTGTTCTTGCCTCTCTGACTGGCAGGCCAAATTTGGCAAAAGTTTTATATAAGTCAGGAAATATTGTCCTTAGGGCTGGGGGTGTAGCCTAGTGGTACCACACTTGTCTAGCTTGTGCAAGGCCCTCAGTTCTATACTCAGTGGTGAAAAAAAGGAAGTATTTTCCACCTGTGACTATACACAGACATACCTACAAAAGCACAAGTAGCCACTGTTTTCTGTATTTTTGACACATTAATAAATCCCTTAAATTTAAGTTTAAAACTAAATTTTTGGGTTGAAATGAAGTTCAATCTCAGATAGTAGTGAAGATTAGATATTTTGGATAGTTGGCAAACTTTTTTCTAGGAAACTGTCCTCTGAGATACAGCAAAGGAACCAACAAAGAGCTTGAATCAGAGAAGTTTGTAAGTGGGAGGATGAGAGCCATGGCTGGGAAGAGACTGGGCAAAAAATGCTCAGGGGCCTAGGAAGGTTGGGGGAGACCTCTACAAAGGCTGCCCAGGAGCCTCTGGAATGCTGAGACAGATAACCTTTGATCATCTTCCCATTGTAT